CTGCGCCCCGAGGGGGCAGCCCCTGAGGGGGATGTCTCTGAATGGGGGCAGCTCCGAATTGGAGGCTCCTGCTGGCTCCCCAAGGGGGGACATGTGGGTGCCCCGCTCAGGTGGAGCTCTTCCAGGGGGACCCGCATCCACCTCTCCCGTGGGGACAGCTCCGAATGGGGACTGCCTTCCTGCTCCTGAGAGGGGGACCCCCTTTTCCTGAAGGACCCACATCCACCTCTCCCATGGGGACACCTCCAAACTGGGGACCTCCTTCTGTCTCTCCAAGAAGACCTTAGATCACATCTCCAAATGTGGGATCCTGCTCAAGAGGACCTCTTCTGGGGACCCTCTCCCATGAGGACACTCCCAAATGGGGACTGCCTTTCTGCTCCCCATGTGGAACTCCCTCTTCCATGGGACCCACATCCACCTCTCCTGTGAGGACACCTCCAAACTGGGGACCTCCTTCTAATCTTTCCAGTTGGGGACCTTTGGGCACCTCTCCAAATGGGACACTCCTCTTTAAGGGATCTCTTCCAGGGGGACGTGGGACCCATACCCACCTCTCCCGTGTGGACAGCTCCAAACTGGGGAGTGCCTTCAGCTCCCCAAGGGGGACACTTTCTTGTGAGGTTCAAGCCATTCCCCTTGTCCTGTCCCTCCATCCCTTGTCCAAAGCCCCTCTCCAGGTTTCCTGCAGCCCCTTCAGGCACTGGAGCTGCTCTAAGGGCTCCCTGGAGTCTCCTGTTCTCACAGCACCCTCTTCTGCCCCTCCAAATGAGACCCTCTGGCCACTCACAGGGGGACATCTCTGAATGGGGGAGCTCCTTTCACCTCTTCATGGGGACTCCCTCCAAAGGGATTCTCCCCAAGAGGGACCTGTATCCACCTCCCCAAGGGGATACTCTGCAAATGGGGGACCTTCTCCCACTTCTTCAAATAGGGGACCCCTCCAATGAGACCCCTTGAAGGGGATCACCTCCAAATGGGGAGATCCCTTCTACCTCTCCAGGAAAGGACCATCCAAGGGGGGACCCCATTCTAAATGGGACCCCTCCAAGGGCGCCTCTTCACCCTGTCCTCTGCTCTCTCCCTCACCTCCAGGCTTCCTGATCTCCAAGTGCTCTTTGCCCATCTTCAAAGCCAAGAGTGGCAAAGCCAAGCGGGTCCGGACCATCTTCACCAGCGAGCAACTGGCGCGGCTGGAGGAGGAGTTTGCGCGGCAGCAGTACCTGGTGGGCACGGAGCGGTGGCTGCTCGCCTCCTCCCTGCACCTCACCGAGGAGCAGGTAGGTCCCACCATGCTCCATCTCCACCTGCTCCACCAGCACGTCCAAGGAGGCTCCCAAATGTGTGGCAATGGGTGGGATTTGGGCCACGTCCCACATGGAACGGGTGCCAGATGGGGAAACTGAGTCACAAAGTGGCCACGTGGAGGGGTTGGACTTGTGTCCATCTAAAGGACGGACCTTCACCACTGGCAGGTCCTATCTCACCAGGGCAGGCTCAGCTGATGGGTTACAGGGGATGATATTCCACCTTGAGGGACACAGTGGGCACTGGCTGAGCTATGAGGGTTTAGCAGACCATGACCCCATGGAGAAACCAGGTTTGAAAGCCACGTTCTGCCTCTTCCTAAGGTGAAAGTGTGGTTCCAAAACCGGAGGATCAAGTGGAGGAAACAAAGCCTGGAACAGCAACAAACCAAACTGGCCAGAACGGGTTTGGCCACTCCACAGACGAGCCCGGACTCACAGAGCCACCACGGTGAGGAGGACAAGGGCTTCCCAATGGAGTCAGAGGATGGACAGGAGGACACGGTGTCCTCCAGCCCTGGCTCAGGGACAGCACCTGCACAGACTGTGACAAAGAGCTGCTGAACGGCCCGTTGGGGCCACTTTTCCATGTATTATATGGATGTATCATAGCTGGCAAGGAGCGGATATAATATATACAGAGAGCAAGGAATTTTGGAGTGGGAAATAAATTATTTATGCAAGTCTTGGATTGTCTTTGAAGGAGAAGGAGGGATAACACAGACAGTTATGGAACGGTTTGTGTTGGAAGGGGGCTTAAAGCTCCTCCAGCTCCAACCCCTGCCACAGGCAGGGACACCTTCCACTAGAGCAGGTTGCTCCAAGCCCCTGTGTCCAACCTGGCCTCGAACACTGCCAGGGATGGGGCAGCCACAGCTCCTCTGGGCACCCTGTGCCAGCGCCTCAGCACCCTCACAGGGAAGAGCTTCTGCCCAAGAGCTCATCTCAGTCTCCCCTCTGGCAGGTTCAAGCCATTCCCCTTGTCCTGTCCCTCCATCCCTTGTCCAAAGCCCCTCTCCAGGTTTCCTGGAGCCTCTTTAGGCACTGGAATCCAAGAGGTTTGGTCCACATGCTCCATGGGAGCTGGGGAGCTCCTCGTGTGGATACAAAACAAGATAGTCCCAACACCCCTGGACCTCCTAGATAGGAGCATCAATGAGGACATTGGGGCAGCACCGGCTCCTCCAAAGTGTATTTCCTCCATGTCTGCTCTGGGCTTGGGGCTGGAGGAAGAAGGGACTCAAGTGGAGGGTTTATTTCAGCGGGTGTGAAAGGAGATACAAGCAGATGGGGGACAGCTCAGAAGAGGACAATGCAAGGAGAAGGGGATAATATAAGATAGGCATGGTGCGAAGAGAAGGGAAGGGGAGAAGGGGGACGATGCAAGGAGAGGGGATGAGGCAAAGAGAGGGAGATGATGGAAGGGGAGAGACAGTGCAAGGAAAAGCAGATGATGCCTGGAGAGGGGGACAGTGCATGGGGAAGGGGACGGTAAGAAGGGAATGATGCAAAGAGAACGGGATAGTGCAAGGAAAAGAGGACAATGCAAGAAGGGGACAGTGCAAGGAGGGAGGGACAATGCAGGAAGAAGGGGATGGTGCCAGGAGAAGAGGATGGTGCCAGGAGAAGGGGATGATGTGAGGGAAACTGCCCTTTGTCCCGGCTGTTTTCAGAGCTGGGATTAGCCGGCGGGACTCAAAGAGCCCAAACTGTGCCGGTGTCTTCCCATGTCTGCTGGTTTAACCCCCTAATCTCACATGCTGGTGGGTTTATTGCAATCAGCCCCGAGACAACAGGGCTTAGGGGGATGTTTAATATCTCCCAGCCAGGGGCCGAGCTGATTGCCAGAGTTAAGTTGTTCTCAGGACACCTTTAATCCCTTGGGAGCTGGATCGGTGCCGCGCTCCTCCGGGGCAGGCAGCAGGGAACGCGTCCTGCTCCAGGGGATGCTCCCCAGGGTCTGCCTGGCTCGGACCCCTCTGTGGGCAGTGTCCCACTGGGAAAATGACTTTAATTAAAGCTGCTGGGCTTGATTAAAGATGAATTAAATCATGTTCCATCCCTCTGGCACCTTGGGCTTTTCCCATGGTGGCTGATAACCCTTGAGGGTTTTGCTGGTCCCTGGGGATGCACTGGGCTCTGTGTTCCCTTTCCTACCTGCCATGGGACAGCGGGATCAGAGGAAGGCCATCCCCTGCCTTCCTCTCACCAGTGATTAACCTGTTTGCAGGTTCCTCAGGGTGGGAAGGGAGTGTATCTGCAGCACAAAGCAGCTGATTACTGCTCCAGAGGGGATGATAATGGGATGGAGTTGATGGTTTGTGAAAAAGCTGGATGCAGTTGGGGAATTTCATGCCCTGACAAGCCCCTGCCTGCCCTGGAACCCTGCAGAGGGGCTGGGAATGCAGCTTCTTTCTCCTATTGCAGACGTCTCCCTCTCCAGTCAGGGTCTTACACCTCAGTCCAGTGCCTGGCAGCTCAACCAGGACACATGGACTGGGATCAAAACCAGGCACAGTGATTTGGCATAATGGAAAAGAAGGGAGAGAGATGCTCCAAGAGCTTGGCAAGGTCTTGGGCTGGATCAACCCACCTTGACAGAACCTTGGCTCCTCTCATCCCCCAGGAAAGATGTACAGAGGAAGAGCTGTGAGTCCTTACCCAAACCCCACACTCATCCCAAAGACCCCACTGGCCCCTTCCCAACCCTGTGTATCCCATTGCTCTCTTAAAGGTGCTGGGTTTTCACCTGTCTGTAAAACACGAATTGGTTTTCAGTGACAGCTAATTACATGGGAGTGAGAATTAAGCAGCCTCACTAAGAAGATAAAGGTTATCTGCTCAAAACACAGCACTGAGCCCTCCCCAACACATCTCAGCTCCACAGATAAGTAGGTGGCTTGTAGGACAGGTAGGTTGTGAGACAGGACTATTAGGGTGGACTATTTGCCCAGCGTGGTCTATGTGTGGATAAGATGGATGGGTGGATGATTTGGGGATGATGAACAGGGCACTGATGAATAGGTGCAAATGGGTGGCTGGATAAATGGGATGGGGAGATGGATGGAGATAGGGGAAGTTATCCCTTTTTCCAGATAAGTGGGTGGAACTGCAGTGTACAGGTCCTCTGTGTCCCCCTCCCTGCTCTCCCTCCTGCCAGGATTATTCCTGATGAGCACATGGAGACGAACACGGTTTGTTTGAACCTATTGAGTTCACTCAGGAGGGTTGAAGTTTGGAGGATGGAGCAGGATCCGTCCAGATGCCAAATCCCTGTGATCCAGCCACGTTCCCAGGCACCTTTTGCATCCCTTCCCCAAGCTGGGAGCCCTCTTTTCCTCCTCTGATGGCCCCATCACGCTCTATTTTGGTGTGGGGGGTGGTGATAAATGGGATTATCATGTGCTGAGGATGGCCCAGGGAGGTTCAAGGCAAAGCCCGACCTGAGCTGGGACACGGGGCGCCGGGTCGGCCGAGCGTGTTTCCAGGCTCCATCTCATCGTGTAATCTTGTTAAATGATCAGGGAGCATTTCCCTGCTTCTCCCTCCCCTTTAATTCCGGATTGAAACATCAAATAACATTCCCGAGGCTGCCAGGCAGCTCCGACGGCTCCACAGGGCCTGGTTTCAGTGGGAATGAAACAAGACATCAGGAGCAATGTGAGGAAATGCCTCAACATCCCATCACTAGCAGTCTTTCTGGGATGAGCGTGTTCCAAGTTGCCTTACTCAGAGTAAAAGCGCTGTTTCTTTGCATTAAACTCCAAGCTGGAAGCATGAGAGGCTGAGAGAGCTGGGCTGGGGCAGCTGGAGAAGAGAAGGCTCCTCAAGGGGACACCTTAGAGCAGCTCCAGGGCCTAAAGGGGCTCCAGGAAACCTGGAGAGGGGCTTTGGACAAGGGATGGAGGGACAGGCCAAGGGGAATGGCTTGAACCTGCCAGAGGGGAGACTGAGATGAGCTCTTGGGCAGAAGCTCTTCCCTGTGAGGGTGCTGAGGTGCTGGCACAGGGTGCCCAGAGAAGCTGTGGCTGCCCCATCCCTGGCAGTGTTCAAGGCCAGGTCGGACACAGGGGCTTGGAGCAACCTGCTCTAGTGGAAGGTGTCCCTGCCCGGGGCAGGGGTTGGAGCTGGAGGAGCTTTAAGGTCCCTTCCAACACAAACCAGGCTGGGATTCTATGAAAATAAAGGTGAAATGGGGTGATCCGCCTGGAATTGAGCAGGAAAAACAGACGAAAAAGGAGACCCCTCATGTAGGGTGAGCATCGCAGTGGCCAGAATCTCTGGGTTTAAAAATCCTGGGTTTAAAACCTATTTATCCCACAACAAGAAACACAGGGCTCTGGAGCAGGATGTAAACTGGGAAGACCCCAGCTCTGCTCCCAGCCATGCTCATGGCAGGACCTGTCAGAAACCAGTTTGCTTCATTTCTATGGAACAAGCTGTTGGGGAAAAGAGAAAAAAGGCTGAAAATTGCAGCATCTCCCCTTTGCAAATGGGTTGTGGCACAAAACCCCTCAGCCCTGTGGCAATGCCACCCCAGGCTGGGCTTCCATGGGGGAGCACTGGGGCTTTGGCACTGGGGACCCTCAAATGGTGGGGGTTTACTTTCAAAAGTTGATTAAATCATAAAATCAAGTAAGTCCTGATGGATTGGGATGAATATGGGCTCTTACTGGGGTGCTTGGGGCTGGCAGCTGGATAAAGTGCTCCCCATCCCTGCTAAAACCTGCTCCGGGGGCTGACATGCTGGGATGCTCTTGTGCCTCAGTTTCCCCATCACAGCCTCGGACATGGATACATGGATACGTGATGGTATCACTCAACTCCTGTTTCTGTGGGCCAGGTCTGATCCTGCTCCACATCCCTGCCAAGAGCCGAGCTGGATCTGACCCTCGCTCTGCCTCATCCTTCCCCCACTCCATCTCTATTGATTTAATAAGATGGAGAGGAATTAACGGGGCCGGAGCATTGGGATAATACAAGATGAACAAAGGGGCAGCGCTAGCAAAGATGCTGCCAGGTTTTAATGATGAGGCCGGGCAGATCCCCCGCTAGCTGTCCCTTTGGAGTGGCGATTAAGAACATACTGTTATTGTTAAGGCAGAGAGATAAATCCCTGCACCGTTTCTGATGTGATCAGCCGGGGCTTCTCCCTACAATTTGTGATCCTATTGTAGCCGGTGTTTGCCCTGGGCAAGGAGAGTCTGGGAACCACTTATGAACCATCCTTTGGTCATTAGGCTCCTCATTAGGAGAGAACAATGTGGGAGAAAGAAGATAATTGCAGGAGCAGGGGCTGATCCTGCACTCGGGCCCGTACCGGGGCTGCCTCAATGCTTAGTTTATTCAGAATTCCCAATTAATTTTAAATGCCTGTTTTTGGGATGCTCTTAATACCCGCGATTGCAACCCCTGGGAACAGGGTGCTCAGGTCTGGGCTTGAGGGGAGCATCCTCCAAAGCCTTGCGGCTGATTTTTGGGGGTCATCCAGGCTTTGCTGTCAGTTGGGTATAGTCCCACCATGGACTCAAACCCAAGCTGTATTTGGAGGGACACCAGGCAGG